TTTCGTTTGGGCTCGCAGCTAAGGCTAACAGGTTAGGGTAAACTGTGTCTGAATTCTGCTTCTTGTAAAATTAAGGTTGTAGCATATGTTAATCTTACTAATATAACTGGGTACTGGTTGAATATCTCGCAAATTAAATTGGAAGTCAATTGCTTCGGCAGTTATTGAAAGAACTTGATTGCGGACAATGAAAATTGTAGGAGGTAAACTGAGAGAGGAAAGTAATAGGAACTATAATTTGCTTGGAAGCTGGGAGAGTATGATCAAATGGGGCTTTTTTGAACTCGTACAATTCCTGCACTTGTACACAACCATTATAACCTTAACACATGGTTTTATTATGTATTTTCTGATTATTAACAATGATGTTTCTAGGTCTATATAATCCGAGTAAATGGTCGAGATGTAGTAGATGCAGCTCTTTGCCTCATGAATTTTGACGCTTTGAAGAAATCAACAGATCTTGGTAATCTTGTCCTTTCTTCTTGTGCACTTGTGTTGCTTTAAAGCAACGGATTTCCACACTTGGTTGTTGATCTCCCTTCTTTTCCTCTTTTTGCTTCGAATGAGAAGATCTTGCGCAGAACGATAATAGGAAGCGAAAAAAAGCAAAGCGTTTGGTAGAGCCTTTTTACGTCGATTTTTCTAAACCAAAAGAGTATATTCAGAATGACAGCCATAGTGCCGTTGATTTGAATGTTTCACCTTCAGGGCACCGATCTGAAACTAACAGTGAAGTTCTGGATTCCGAGGTTCCAGAAGGTATGAGATACTCTTATTTCTGTTGCATATAAATGTGTTCTGAAACCTTTATGATATGCAGGGTTCATTGCAGGTTCGGATGTTATCAACCGCTTGCAATCTAATGAAATATCCTGCTCTGAAACATCATTTTTACATGATAATCCTCAAAACAGCATAAGTTGTAGGTAGATTGCAGAGGACTTTTGACCATTTATTTGAACTAACAAGTTCTATCATGAGAAGCTCCAGAGAAATGCAACACACACAACTTAGAGTAATATCCAGAAGAAAGATTTTGAACTGAAGCATCTGATGAGTATATATGGCAGATGTAATGAATGATGCAGAAGTTGACTCTTCCAAGTGAATATATCTCTTGGATGTATAATGTTTTTGTGTTTCTAACACTTCACTGAGTTCGTTCACTAAAGAAAATACCTTGTCCAATAGGATTATAAGATGTAATTTTGGGATGATAGCATGATTATACTTTTCATTTTTGTACATAGACGCACACAGATGTATTTGAATATCTGCAAAACACTGACCAATGAGTTTCTTATTCATTTGAAATTTAGATAATATGGTACTAGCGGCAATGTTTTATTTTTTATTTTTTTATGTTGTGCGGCATGGTCAAATGAGATTCATATAGATATATAGTCGATCCCGACATACTTTATATTTATAATATATTGAGGTATAGTTGACGAAGATTAGATTAGTTGAATTTGTAGTGCTTACGGAAAAAATTACTACTGGCTGAGATGATCTTCTTTATGAAACGCTGTGTCTTATTACATTACCTCCTCTACGTAAAAAGCGTTTCAACCAAAAAGTACAAATAGGCAAATCTAGAGACTAAGTATTTTCCAGCTATTTGTAGAGAGATTACTATTTTGAGAAGTGTTTTTTTTAAAAGTGCTTTACGCAAAAGTACTTTTGGTGAGAAGTAATTTGTGTTTGACTAATTAATTAGAAGGATGGTGGAGCAGTACAGGGATAGGAAGAAGGATCTCCACATGGTGTTTATTGATCTGGAGAAAGCATACGATAGGGTTCCTAGGGAGGTCTTATGGAGCTGCTTAGAGGATAAAGGGGTCCCGGTTGACTATATTAGGGTGATTAAAGACATGTATGCTGGAGCTAAGACTCGGGTTAGGACAGTAGGAGGCGACTCTGAACACTTTCCAGTTGTTACGGGGTTGCACCAAGGGT